AAAAGATTATATTAAAAAAAAAAAATGTGGAGGACTTGGCAGAATAGGTTTGTTTGAGATGTGCTAAATTTGAGAAGTGTATTAAATATCTAAGAGACGATGTTGATTAGGTAGTCTGATGATATTTTGATGAGTCAACTTGGTTAGGCTAAACTATGAGGATGGATGGAGGGAAGCACCCATTTTGTAGCACACATACACTTCAACCCAGTTATTCAATCAAACTGTAATCTAGGTGCTGCTGTGAAGGGATCTGGCAGACACTAATTAAAGTTCCTAATAAACTGACTTTAAGGTAGGGAGATTATCCTAGGTGGGCTGACCTAATCAGGTAGGTCTTTGACAGTGCAGGTGGTCTCCAAATTCCAACCAGCATCCAGGTCTAAAACTATGCTGTCCCCAGTGGATCCTCCTTCAGTGACTGTCTGTGGGTTAATAGCTTCTGGCCATACCTGTAGGGTTCCTTCCTGCTCATGATCCTGACTGTCTATCCTACAGATTTTGGACTTGCTTAGTCAGCCCCCATGATCATATAAGCCAAATTCTTGTAATAAATCTAGACAGATAGATAGATGATAGGTAAGTAGGTAGGTAGGTAGGTAGGTATAGATAGATGATAGATGATAGATAGATAGATAGATAGATAGATAGATAGATAGATAGATGATAGATAGATGATGATGATGAAGATAGATAGATAGATAGATAGATAGATAGATAGATAGATAGATAGATAGATAGATGATAGGTAGGTGGGTAGGCGGGTAGGTAGATGATAGATAGATGATAGATAGATAGATGATAGATGGATAGATAGAGAGATAGATAGATAGATAGATAGANGATAGATGGATAGAGAGATAGATAGATAGATAGATAGATAGATAGATAGATAGATAGATAGATAGATAAATAGATAGATAGATAGTAGGTAGGTAGGCAGATAGATAGATAGACTGATAGATAATAGATATAGATAGATATAGATGAGAGGTAGGTAGGTAGGTAGATAGATGATAGATGATGATAGATGATAAAGATTAGATAGATAGATAGATAGATAGATAGATAGATAGATAGATAGATAGATAAGAGGTAGGTAGGTAGGTAGATGATAGATGATGATAGATGAGATGATAGATGATAGATAGATAGATAGATAGATAGATAGATAGATAGATAGATAGACAGATATAGATAGATGGATGATAGGTATAGATATAGATAAGTGGGTAGGTAGGTAGGTAGATAGATAAAAGATAGATAGATAAATAGATGATTAGATAGATAGATAGATAGATAGATAGATAGATAGATAGATAGATAGATGATAGGTAGACAGATAGGGCTTACTACTTATGCTTCTCTGATTGAACCCTGACTGATACAGGCAATTAGATATGTCAGCACAGAACTCAGGAGAAAGGCCTAGAATGGAGATGTAATTTTGACAGTCATCATCATAAAGATGGTACTCAGACCCAAGCCTGAATCAACTCACCGTGTCAGAGCACATGCACAGAGAAGACAGAGGACCAAGGACAGAGTGCAGGACACACTTAACACTAAGACACTGGGGAGAAGAGGAATCAACGGAGGCAGAGGAGCACCCCTACTTTACCCTCTCCTTTGTCTGCTACGCCACAGCCTGTGGCCTTCCTTATGTCCCATCTCAGGACCTCAGTCCTTCTTCCCTTGGGCTGGAGTGCTCTTTCTCACTGGATGGCTGGTGCCTTCCCATCGAATGCTACCATTTCCAAGAGGCCTTCCGGTCACCCTCGCTAGTTTCTCCTCCCACCCCAGCCTATCTCTAGTCTACTGACCTATTCTGTTTTCTTCAGAGAACTTCCCAGAATCACAAATCAAGTTTACAGGTTTATTATCTGACCCTCCACTCGCCCCTCTGAAGTTAAGCTCCACAAAGCAAGAGCTCAGACTGTACTCTCTCTACACAGAATGTGCAGGAGGCGAGAACACGCAAAGGCTAAAGGGAACCTCTGTGAAAAGAAGCGCATGGAGTTCTGGCGGGGCGGCTGCAACTCACAAGCCACAGACGGTGTGTGGGGCAGGGGCAGGGTGTCAGCCCCCACACGCCCAGGGGCCCTGGGCAGGATACAGGCTGTACAGCTGAATGCAACGGCTCCGATCGTAGGCAGTCGATACATATTTATTAAATAACAAATGGGAGAATTCACTTACTGCTTTCCTCCACCTAACTCAAAGCTCAACATGACTGCCGCAGGTCTTAGGCACTTTTGCCTTTGTGAGCCCACTCCTCCTCCAGAAAATAAATATTAAAAATTATATTTTTTGCTTGTATTGATATAAATATAAATATATGAGTAGGGGAAAAAAACAAAATATTTTCTTTGACCTAAAAGTTGCTGTTCTCTGCTCATTTGAAAAAGAATTAAAACATTTAGTGGGCCCTTAAAAGTACAATGGCTCTACACACATGGTCCTCAGCGTGGGCAATGTATAAATCAGCCATGACAAGTTTCCCGTGTACAAGGACTTATTTTAGTTTATTCTGTTTATGGGAAGTACTGGCCCATAGCTGGCTCTCAATAATGTCTGTTGATCTGAATGATAAAGGACTATGTGAAAATAATATTTATCTGATTCCTAAATCTTGGTTGCATGTGTACTACTAAGAATCACAACTGCATAAATAAAAGAGTCAAACGTACCTTCTCTTTATATTCAGCCTCGTATCTTACACAAGGTTGTTGGGTAATGTCTGGGCCCTCAAACTTGGATATTCTCAGAAGCAGCTGGCGCTGTGCGTACACCAGGAGTGGTGTCACTTGCTCTGTATATCTCTCACTAGACAGGGTAAAGATATGTTAAAAAGCAAACATTAGTGAAAACATGGTTTTTTTTCAGTGAAGTCTGTCACTTGAATTGCCCTTAGAGCAGTACTTACTGTGAAATTATATTGAACTGAATGGCAAGCGATACTAGTGTTTCCCATTTTTCTACCTGATACAAAAGTTCCAGAGATTTTAATACAAAGTCATGGATCCACTTCAAGTCAACCACGTTTACATTATCCAAAGGATGCTCAAAAGTAAGGCTAGAGCCGCCGTTATCATTTTTAATATTTCCATAGCAACTTGGAACACTGAACTCTCCTTTTTCTTCAATAATCTGCAAGTAGCACATTAAAAAAAAAAGTGAGATTTCAGATTTTACTACACTTTTTTTTTTTTAAACTGAATGTGATATATGGAATTATAATATGGAGAAAACTGAACAGAAAAAAATTAAAATATTTTTATGAAGCAAATGAAAGCCTGATAATGCCATCCAGTGTAACTTCTGTGATGGTGGAAATGTGCTACATCTGTGCTGTTCAACATAGTAGCCATTCAGCACATGTGGCTACTGAGCTACTGAGGTATGACTAGTGCAATGAGAATTTCAATTTCATTTCATTTCAATTCATTTAAGCTTAAATTTAAATAGCCACATATGGCCCTGGCCGGTGTGGCTCAGTTGGTTGGAGTGTCATCCCGTGCACCGAAATGTAGAGGTTTGATTCCTGGTCAGGGCTCAAACCCAGGTTGCTGGTTTGATCCCCAATCAGGGCACGTGTGGGAGGCAACCGATCTATGTTTCACTCTCATATTGATGTTTCTCTCTCCCCCTCCCTCTGCCTTCCTCTCTCTAAAAAAAATAATAATAATATTAAATAGCCACATATGGTAGTCATTACTGTATTAGCACACAGTGAGGTCTATTGAACATAGTTACTGAGTTAGGATATTAAACCAATAAGACAAAATTTTGAGGAAAAGTAGGTTTTAATATATATAAATAATTAAGTTTCTCTAATACATTGGTTACATTCATCAGTTTGTAGAATAGTATGTCCAATTCCCTGATGCAAAGGAAATAATTTGGAGAAGGAAATCATTGAGAAGACCCTCTTTTTGCCTAAGTTAAAGAATTATTGTGTAAGTATTGTGTTCCAAGCTTTGAGTGTCCAGAGTACATGTTGAATCTCTGTTATTAGGCGCATACACATCTATGAACAGTATGTTTTCCTGGTTAATGGAGCTTCTCATAATGAAATGTCCCTTTTTATCTCTCTAAATGCTTTTTTATTTGAAGACTATTTTATCTAATATTAGTATAGCCTCACCAGCTTTTTTATGCTTACTATTTTTATGATATATCTCTTTCTACTGTTTTATTTTCTACCTGTGTGTTTTTTTATATTCAGAATGCTTCTTTTGAGGACAAGTATAGGTGTTTTTCTTTTTAATTCAGTCAGGTAATCTCTGCCTTTTAATTGGGATGTTCAATCCACTTATATTTAATATAGTTATTGATATAATTGGTTGGATTTACTATTTGTCCCATATGTTTTCTATTTGTTTTTGTTCCTGTTCCTTTCTCCCTGCCTTCTTTAGTTAACTGACTATTATTTAGTTTTCCATTTTACTACATTGCCTTTTTAGCTGTATTTCTTTTTTAGTAGTTACTCTAGAGATTATTAAATGCATCCTTAACTTATTACCTTCCACTTAGAGCTAATATTGTACCACTTTATAGCTATATAAAGTATAAAAACTTAGGACAGTTTAATTTTATTTACCCTCCTAGTCTTCTGTGCTATTGCTGCCATATATTTTACATCTGGAAATTACCCCATGACTCAATGTGTTTATATGTTAACTAATTTTCAACATGTTTAGGATATGTCATGTTTGAATTTTTTCAATTTTATTTTCTTGCTTTAAATCACAGTGTGTAAGATTTTAAATGGTAAATTCTACCAGATCTGAATTAACGGAACAGGGACAGATAAAGCAGTGAAATAAAGATTTTAAAAAACAAGCTTTATGATCTCTCTTTATGTCTGTTTCTTTATCAAAAGATTACAATGAGTATTAAATGCATTAATGTTAGTTTATGTAGAAGCTGGAGCTTAGTAAATGATACTTTCTGTTCCCTTTAAGAAATTAAATTTTCAGGCTAAGATATTTGTAATTAACACCAGTGCAAGACATATATAGTGAACCAAATAATAATGAGAAGCAAATGAAATACAGACAAATCAACTAAGAACTCAAGAATATTACTAATTTCTACTTACCCCAAGCTGCATGGTGCAAAAACACTTGTTAACTGAATACAATAAAAATAAATACCCAAACACTCTTACCTCAATAGAATTGGTATTTTGTAGTTCTATTAACATGTCAATAAGTAGCTCTGCTCCCAAATAGAATGGTAAAACAGAGATACAAAGGAAACCGTCTTGACTAACAGGAAATATTTTATACATGTCTACTGCTTGTTTAAGAAGTATCTGTAGCTCCTGAGTAAAGTTCCAAAGGGTCCGACAGCAGTTCTGAAGCAGTGTCCAAAAGCCGCCACGATGAGCCAGAACCTAAGACCAACACAACATTGAAAAGAACCCAAAGTTCCAGAAGTTACACATCTCTGAACGACTTCATCTTTCTGCAAATATTGTATGTTGGTAATAAAAATAACTAACACCATTTGTTAGGTGCCACTTATATGTGCTAGATACTGTGGTAAGACCTTTACATGCATCATCTTAGTTCCTTCTTACAGCAGCTCCTATGAAGTAAGTATGCACCAGTATTCTATTCAACGTACAGATAAGGAAATGGAGTCATGGAGCTAACTTGCCCAAGATCACAAATCTACTAAATGGTGAGCTGAGCTCTGCACATCAGTGGTCTGACTCCAACACTGTCTTTGTGTAGGTGCTGGGAACGTGGCGGTGAGCAAGAAAAACCAGGTGTGCTTTCCTGCTGCCTCAGGTTATTAGGGGAGACCAACACTAACTGGGTAAGTACACAAATAAAAACGTAATTTCATGAATATTAACTGTTGTAAAGAAAAATAAAGCAGAGTTGGATCTGAACCTGACAAGGGTGAGAGAACACCTCCTTTTACACCAGGTGGTCAGGAGAGAAGTCCTCTCTGAGGAGGTGACCTATTGAATGTTCAGTTGAACAAGTCCAGTGAAGCTGGTGATGGGGTGTTGGGTGGGGGAGAACATTTGAGGCTGAGGGAACAGCAAGTGCAAACGATGGGGGACAAACCAGAGGGCTGCGGAGCAAACAAGCTTAGTGCTTTCAAGACCGGAGTGGGAAGAGGAGACTGAAGAAAAGCAAGAGGAGTTGAGTTCTGAGAGGTGAGCAGGACCCAGACCTTCTAGGGTCCTGAATGTCATGGTCAAGGAGATGATGTGGGTTTACTTTACATTTTTAAAGAGCCTCTCTCTCCACAGAGAATATGGGGATGTAAGTGTGTTTCTTTCTTGTCTAGAAAGGGTAGATTTCCTTTCATTTTGAGGGGATTGAAGTACCCCTCTCCTTACTAAGAGAAAAAGGAAACAAATTTCTTTGTAGCTAATGAGTCCAATTTGAGTTTAATAATCTATCATATGATATTTAAGAAGAAAAAGAGAAAAGTATACGAGAGAAAACACAAGTGGCCTGTAGACCAAGAGGTCAGGGAGCAGAGGCAGATCTTTCCTGTGGTCTAGAAAGATCTTCCCTGGTGCTGGAGGAAGGAAAGGGGTCTATGGTGCCTGAGGGGGGATCAAGATTCCAGAGAGAAACCCCTGGTGTCACCAGAGAAGCCCATGTCCCAAGTGTGGCAAGAAAGCAGCAGAGGACTGTGTGAATATCCACAAAGTGTGTGTAGGCAGGGACAAAGGCCACCTCTGCTCCAGGTGGATGGATAACTGATGACAAAAGGAGCTCACCCCTCTCCCTGACAACTTGACAGTGCGTAAGACCTCATTCATTACCATGGCAGGCAAACCGCAAAAATGACTGACAGAAAACCCAGCAAATTCAGTCTTAAAATTGAAACTGAAATTACAGATAGTAAGCAGATAAATACAATATATCTTACTCCCCCAAATTTATGGGCTGAGATTTGCTGTCTACCACATTAGCAAATACCAAGGACCACCTTACCATTGCTCTCCTGCAATATAAAAAGATCTTCATAAAATGATCCAAAAGACCCAAATTTGGAGCTCGATCTTTTTCTCTACTACTAAAAACTGTTTGAAAGTCTGAGTCATAAACTGTTTGTGTCTTAGAATCATTTTCGTCACTCATTTTGATATCAATAAATGTCGGAAACTCTTCAGCATCTATGGTACAAAAATAAAGTATAACGTTATTGAAAACAGAGAGTTAAGTTCCAGAAGACACAGCAGGTGACAAGCATCAGGTGAGTAATTCATACAACAATTGCTACATAATTTTGGAGAAAGGACAGGATTATCACACACACACTGAACCAGGAAAGTTTCTAGAGAAGGAAGCACTTAGATTAGGTCTTAAAAGGGTGGGTGTGATTCAGCTATGAGGGAAAACTATGGAGAGCATTCCAGGCAGGGATGATGGCCCAGGGATGTCCTGTTTTTTGAGGAAACAATGACAGGATCACACTGTTCCTTAATTTCCCCCCAAACAGGCCATTCCCAGGACACACACGCTGGAAGGCAAGTAGCATTCCCCAGAAGTAGGCAGTGCGGCAACCCGGGCCCCTCCTTCTCTTAGAACTCTGCAGTAAATAAGAAGTCTGAATAGAGTATTCTATTGCCCACTTCATGGAAGCTCTTACACAGGGAGCTCGTTTTTAAAAAAACTCAAGAAGCTATATATTATAATCTACATATAAAACTCAGACTCTTTCTGTGTCTTGGAAATTTACTTTCAAATACTTCAATATTCATAGAATGGCATGCGGGTACCAGTTAAACTTAATCTACACTCTAGAAGAAACCAAAAAGCACGTCAAGTACCTCAAATATGAATCAACATTCCCTGGGCAGTTAGCCAGCATACAGAAGTATCCTGTTCAGCAGTAAGTTACATAGCACGGAAAATACCATTATGAGAAATCTACATAAGAGGGTTTGTAATAGCATAAAGATCTTAGAAATAATTTTTTATTTGTCAAGTGAGTGGTATTTGAGGTAGATGATTGCTTAGAAATAGTGTCATTGGTCCAGATCGAGAGCCCTGTACTCCTGCATCCCTCCATCTCTCAGAGGCCCCTGTCACCTGACCTGATGACAATATTAGTTGGTCCTGCCATCAGAATATTACTGCATTCATCTTGGAGTAAGCTTTCATGGAAGGTGCTAGTTGGAGATCATAAGGCAAGAGTAGACTGTTCTGAGTATAAAATCGGTACTACAAAACAGCCATGTGACTATTTCCATGCCTGCTTGCATCAGCAATGTTTGCTGGAATTTGTTCTGAAACTTACTTCCATTAAAATATAACCCCTGATAGTATGTCTTCACCTATCTGGACCACTGGAGGCTACCAGTACTTCTAAAAGAAAATTATATTTGCTAACTAACCAAACTGTTTTAGGTCAGAACACAATACAAGTATTTGCAAATACATATGATACTACCATAAAAATAGAAAAATTTTAAAATACAGCAAATAAGAGTCCACTATTAAATATCACAACTCAACTCAATTCCTTGGTCATTGTGAAATGGTGCGTGTAATTCTGTGTGTCTGCCATGGTGTGTGTGTGTGTGTGTGTTGTGTTAGTAAAAATCTAGAGGCAATTCGATAGTATATTTATTTATTTTACCTGATGGTAAATTTGTCTTTCTTTTCTTAGCTGAATGAAGGAAATCAAGCATCACTTTATAGTTTTCCAGAGTCAATTTTCCTGTTGGTAATACTGTTCCTGAATTGTACAGTGAGAACATACTAGGATCACATGACCGGAAACTGCAAGGGGGGGATTTTTTATTAAAAAAACAATATAAGCAAAATTGAATTAAATATGTCAAATACAACCTACTTTATTTTTTTAAATATTTGGGAGTTAGTACTCTCAAATTTTGGATCATGATGGATTTGGGCACTTAACCAAAGCCAAATAATTTTCCATTAAATGTTAAAATTATGCAATGTAACTTTGCTCTTAGGAGATTTAACATCAATATCTATTTTGCTGAAAGGGCCCATGAAAATGGGAATGGAAGATCTATACTCAATCTAAGAGTTCTGAAACAGTCATTTACATCAACTTAAAACCACCTGATCTAAACACAACTCAGTGATCATGCCTACGACATATACCAGTGTGTCTGTTATCAATGCTTGTTTCTTTTTTAAAATAAGGTCTAAGCAATAAACAATCCTCCACCATCCATCCATCCACCCACCCAGACACACATTATATAGAATAAGCATATATTAACAGTTTTAATAAAGCTGAATTTAGCACCAAGTTACCCTGACACAGACTGGACCACCGTCTAATTACTGTGCTGCCAAGTCACTGAACATGTATGGTCATGCATGACTGAAGTCATCATGGTTCAGAGGACAGTAAGAAAGCCCATCTGATCTGACCGGCTTTCCCTCTCACGGCCTCACGAATGGAGCACTTTGTCAAAGCTTTCCCTGTAGGTCAGGCAATCTAATTGTTTTTTGTTTTTTTAGGAAAGCAAATGTTTCACCTTTATGAGGCCTACTTTATTTTTTTTTTACTGTGTCGCTGTGTGTTTTAAATTTATTTTTCAGTTACAGTTGACATACAATATTAGTTTCAGGTATACAACAGAGTGATTACACATTTATACACATTATAAAGTAATCACCCTGATAAATCTAGCACCCATCTGACACCATTACAATATTATTGACCATATTTCCTATGCTGTACTTTACATCCCCAGGACTATTTCTGTAACTGGCAATTTGTACTTCTTAATCCCTTTCACCTTTTTTTCTAACTGCTTCTTAAATGCAAATCTGGTCTATCTCACATAGGAAAGGGATCTATTTGGAGACATTTTTGGGAAGGTTCAGTCTGAAGAAACAGAACTGGGACCCAAGTTCATTGGGGACTTCAACCTGTATATTTTATCACTGGATTACTGAAACAAGTACCCTCTTAATTCATATTCCTGTCACCAGCCTTTCCTTCCTCCAATCCATTTGGTATGTTGCTGTCAGAGAAATTTCTTATCCTAGCCCTGCTCAAAAACTCTTCATAATCTCCTGTATATAGATAAAATTTCAGATTTAATATACAATTAAGACTTTCCGTGATCTGGTACTGACCTACTTTGTTAATTATTCCATACCATTCCCTATCATATACCCCAGATTCTGGTCAGACTATTTGGGATTCTCATCCTATGTTTTTCCTATCTGAGTTCTAACTCATGGTTTTCCATCTACCCGGAATGGCTATTTCTCTTTCTGCATTTCTAAATCTTTCCTATCTGTCAAGAGACAGGCCAAGTGGCCCTTCCCCATGAAATTGTTCCTCAGCCAGAATAAAGCATCCTTCCCAGGAACAAAGAAAACTTTCTGAGTACGTGGCCTTCTACCATTACCTAGAATTACTCATGAACATCTGTGATCTACCCCACCAGACTCTAACCTGCACATCCTGCTCATCTTTACATGCCCACTGCACCTATCTCAGTATCTGGTATCTAATGGTTGCTCAACAAGTATTTTCTGAATGACTCCACCTCACCTTTTTAACAGCTATGTAGTATTCCATTTATGTATTTATTTATTTTTATCTTCCATAACACTTTAGCCAAAGACACTCAATAAGAACTCAAAAATGTCTTTTGAATTAATAGAAACTTTACATTATATGAGAATATGTGACCTGTTTCTAGAGGTTTATAATATGTATTCCACAGGGGCTTAAAACATCTCTAAATAGAGACTTGCCTAATGTCCACTAATAACTACAATACTGTATAATTAACATTAAATTTCTCTTGGAATTACATTTTCTCCTTTCACTGAAAGCTATATTGGGAAACACAGTCAAAATATATGCAAATTAGTACTCCATAAGTGCTTATATCTATCACCTGCTTGGGAAATATTCTAAGATAAAAAATTAAGAAATATATCGATGGCCAGGTAAGATGGAAGCACTCTGTAAACCTCCTTAAGTTATTATCAACATTGGAGCCCTGAACATACAAATACAATCCATGTTCTTGAGACTTTAAAAGTATTATTCATTGATAGTATACTATACCTGACCATTGCATGGGAAGTGCCAAATTTCATCTTCATACGTTCCCTTAGCTTTATTAAAAGCAGGTTGAAGTGTGCATTTGCCAGATACAGGTTCATCTGAGCTCTCCAGGGAATCTCTTCAAGACATATTTGATGGAACCTCTTCTTTTTAATATAATTCAGTATTACAGGATTCAAGTAGTCCACGAGGAGTCGATGTGCTATTTTTCTAATATCAGTTCTCTTATTTCTACCGAGGGACAAAGAAGTTTTAAAATTACACAAACTTTCTGATATTTGAAGAGGAATGATTCCAATTTACACATAACCAAGAAGTCACTTGACTGCCCTTACGCAAATGTTACTGGCTTATTTATCATCTGCTGAGTGCTGAAAATGTGAAATGGGGCAAGAAAGAACGCATGAGAATAAACACGAGGGACAAAGTCACTTCCTATTGTCTCCAATTCTCTCTCATGTCTGTGTCCTAAGCTTGAACCAAACAGCTCTTTTCTTTTCCATAACCAAAAGGCCACTGAGATTAGACAAATAAATTACAACATAAATTGTTCACATTCATCAGCCAACTTCAATACTGAACAAGAAAATAACTTCTCTGTATGGTTCCTCAAAAAAACCAATGAAGCAAAATTTTTTCTAACATTAACTAGACTGCAGAAGGAAATAAAACATCAATCAAAGATAAATGGGGTAACTTCATAAAGCCATATTCAATATGCTTTGGAAAAAACTAATATTTCAAAATTTATCTAAGAGTTCATATTTTAAGTATAATATATATTTGTTTAAAATTATTCCTATCAAAATCTCTAAGTAGTCCAATTATTTTTATTATTACATAGTTGTTTATATGAAATGACTTATTTCTTTAAATTACTTTTATCAACTTTTTTTTGACTGTTGGCAATGTTGCTGTCCCATTGGTCAGTGTGATTCTACCTGATGTTCAATACCATTAGCCATTAGAGAAATGCAAATTAAAGCCACAAAATATCATTAGCACCTATTTTAATGCCTAAAATACAAAACAGTGATAACACTAGATGCTGGTTAGCATGAGGGGAAACTAGAATACACATACGTTTATCGTACAACCTAGCAATTGCACTATTGAGCATTTTATCCCAGAGAGATGAAGATTTATGTCCATATAAAAAAAACCTGTATATGAAGGTTCATACCACCACTATTCTTAACAGGCAAAACTGGAAAAAATCCAAATGTCCTTCAGTGGTTAAATAGTTAAATTGTGGTACATCAATACCACAGACTACTACTAAGCAATAATAAATGAACTTGGGTGGCTCTCAAAGTAATTATGCTGAGTGGAAAGAAAAAGTCAATCTCAGAAAGTTACATACTGTGTAATTCCATTTTTATAATATTCTTGAAATGACAAAATTATACAGATGGAGAACAAATCGGTGGTTGCCAAAGGTTGGGAGGGGGAGAGGAAGGGAGGTGGCTATAGCTATATAAAGGTACCATGGGGGTTGGGTATGCACACACATATGTGTGCATGTTAAAATTGCTGTAGTCTGAATAAGTTCAGTGGGTTGTATCAATGTCAATTCCCTGGTTGTACTACTGTACTATAGTTAAACAGTTAACTTAGGAGAAACTAGGTGAAGGATATATGGGATCTCTGTAATATTTCTTGTAGCTGCATGTAAATGTACAATTACCTGAAAAAGTTTTTAAAAATTCATGTTACAACAAGGATGTCCACAATCACAAACTCTATTCAGTATTAAACTTGAGGTCCTAACATATAGGTTAGACAAGAAAAAGAAATAAGAGGCTTGAGCATTAGAAAGAAATAAGCAAAACTTTCATTATCTCTTCACAATATGATTGTCCACACAGAAAATCTGTATCTATGAATAAATTATCAAGGCATATAGAAGATAAAGTTGCTTATAAATCAATTATATTCCTATACAAAAGAAGAGAAACATTCAAAATGTAATTTTAAAATACTATTTACGCTAACACAAAAAGCATTTATTTGATACAGATATCAAAAGATGTGTAACACCTTTATGGAGAATATCATGAAAATTTATTGAAAGGCATTAAATAAGACCTAAGTGGTCTGTCTTCTAATAGAAAGACTCAATATTGTAAAAAATATATATTCCCAAACCAACCTATATATTCAATTTTATCTCTACCAAAATCACAAGTTTTTGTGTTTTTCGATAAGCTATTCCAAACTATTGTGTGAAAGAATATCCAAGACTTGAGGCAACTGAAGGAAAAGAACATGCTGAAGAAACTTATTCTCTCAGACAAGACTTAATTTAAAGCTAGAGTAAGTATGATGGTATGATACTGACTCAGGAACAGACAAATACACTAATGTAATGGGACATTAAAAAGATCCCAAAACTAGATACATGAAAACTCGCTAAATGACAGAAGTGATAGTGATCATAGAATAGACTACTCAATAAATGGGGCTAGCCAACTGGGTACCTATGATGAAACCAAAATTCACAAAATTAAGTTATAGTTGAATGAAATCCCTAAATGTGAAAATCAAAAATTAAAATTCACAAAGAAAATACCTTTACTACCTTGGGTTAGAGAAGAATTTCAAAAACAATAAATGGAAATATTGTTACAACTGACTCCATTAACAAGCACAACTTTTAATTTTTAGAATAAACTTTAAGATGTTTATAGATGAGCCACAAAGTGGGAAAAGCATTAGTATCCAAACTTCTAAAAATAAACTGACAAGCAGAATAGATTCAATGACATGGAAGCATAGTTGAGACTGACGAAATGTCAGAGGGAAGGGGGAGAGGGGGTGGAGGGGGAGAGAGTAACCAAAGAATTTATATGCATATATGCACAACCCAAGGACACGGACAATGGTGGGGAGAGGGACTGGGAAGGGGGAAGGAACGGGGGAAGGGAAAGGGACATTGGGGAGAAAAAGGGACATCTGTAATACTTTAAACAAAAATAAAAATTATAAAAAAAATTAAAAAATTCAAAAATAAAATAAAATAAAATTCTGAAAAAAGAAAAATAAATAAATAAATGAGAAAAAACCCGAAAGTTTTTAAATGTGCAAGGATCTAAACAAGCAGTCCAGAGACTAGAAAAACCCTAAGGTCTAATAAAAATATGAAAAGATGCCTAACCTCGGCAGTAATCAAAGAAATAAAAATTAAAATAATGAGATAACATTTCACAACTCATAGTTTCACAAAAATTTGAAAGTTTGATAATTTTATCAAGTGTTGGTAAAGATGTTGAATAATGGAAAATTGAAACACCGCTGATAAAATTTAAGAGCAACTTGGCAATATCCAGTAATGGCTATCAAACACAAAGATGTTCATATCTCCATTTAAAAACAATGTAAATGCCCATTTACAGGAGACTAGATACAGTTTATTCAGAAATTGAATACTATACAGAAGTGAAATGAATAGCTAGACTTATGTATCATCGACATGAAAAAAAAAATCTCACAAACATAGTATTAAGGGAAAAGAGCAAATTGGCAAAGCAAACTGTAAAAACTAATATATTAGTTAGGGATATACACATAAATAGTTGAAGTATAAAGTCACTCACAAACATGATAAATTATTGGGATAAAGGGGAATGGAAATGCATTCCAAGAGGGATACATGGGAATTTCAGCTGTGTTTAAAATATTTTATATGGTAAGCTGCATATTAGGGCACATGTTCATTTGTTGTATTATTTTCTATACTCATCTAAAATATGTCATAATTTAAATTTAAAAGGTAAAGCAATAATAAAAAAAAAAAGATAGGCAAATGCAAACAAAAAGAAAGTGAGAATAGCTCTATTAATATCTATAGTTGCAAATCAAAATCAATAAACAGATAAAGACCTTACATAATGAAGGTAAAATATATATAGAATGTATAAAAATCATAAATGCATACTCATAAAAATAGAAGCTAAACATTTTAACATGCTTCTTTTTTAATTTCAGAGAGAGAAAGGGAGAGGGAGAGAGAAAGGGAGAGAGAGAAACATTAAAGATGAGAGAGAGTCATTGATCGGCTGCCTCCAGCACACCCCCTACTGAGGATCATGCTTGCAACCCAGGCATGTGTCCTGACCGGGAATCAAACAGTGACCTCCTGGTTCATAGGTCAACACCCAACCACTGAGCCATGCCAGCCAGGCCATAAGTTTTATCAACAAGAACATTAGATCCATCGATAATAAAAAGTAATTTACCAATTTGGTCTACTGACCACTCTAACTAAACTGCTGCTGCCATCACCTCCACCGCAGGCCAACTGCTCTGTAGCATATCATCCTGTTCATTTTATAAAGTTTATAAAAATTTTTAAATTGCCTTACTTTTGTGTATGTTTACTAGTTTACTGTGCTAATTTATTAGTATATAAGCTTCTTGATTGCAGTGATCTTCTCTCTCTAGTTAACCAGTATATCTCTAAGCCCAAAATAATGTCCAACACACAGAAACCTTCAAGCAAATGTTTATTGAATTAATTAAATAATAAATGGATACCTTTCATGATCCGACATTTCAGAAACAAATGGATTTTTGGATAAAAAATCTCTTAGAGTTCCACGTCTTTTACTTCTTTTTTTTTGTATTTCTGTAATCTTAATACAGAAGAAAACAAAAATGTTACAAACTAAAATTAAATTCAGAATACAATACTATAATTTACTCATACCCTAATGTTTATCTCTTGACATTAAAATACAGTGGTTTCTTTACACCCCTCAATTAAAATTATTATAAAAAGTAACAAAAATATCCCTGTAGACAAAAAAAGTGATTATAAAAATATCCATATGAGCCCTGGTTGGTGGGGCAGGTGACTGGAGCATCATCCTGTACACCAGAAGGTGGCAGCTTCAATTCTGGTCAGGGCACATGCCTGGGTTGCAGGTTTGATCCCCAGTGGGGGCGCGTGCAGGAGGCAACCTATAGATGTTTCTCTCTCACATCTCTCTCTCTGTCTCTCTCTCCCTCTTCCTCTCTCTAAAATCAATTTTTAAAAAATTAAAAATATATCCATATGAAAACTTAATAATTGTAATGTATAATTATAAAATTATAATTGTATTTCCTTCTGTTTCATGTTATAATAAATTATAATGCAGCCAATCATCTGTAGACACATGAATCTCATTTCATTCACTCAAAATTCAAAACTCATGAAACTTACTCTCCCAATCTCTAGTACTGCAGCTTTGAATTTCACAGGTTTAGCCCCCTTTTTACCCAAAATATTGTCCTTATATTTCATTCTTTTTATTCCAAGTAGGGAATCATTTCTCCTAATACAAAAAGACAAAGTTGGTTAAAAGAATCTACAAGAATTTGCAAAACTACCCCAAAGTAATAAATCTTTAATGAATGTTGTCACTAAAATTATGCAAGAAGAATTGCCAAAATTGTTTGTGTCCCATGCATAAATTAGACTCTGATATTCCTGGTCATCAAGGAATAGTTGGCCTCTCAGAAGAGCACAATGTAAATTGTACCAAAAACTTGATTAGAGCTGACGTGATGTAGAATAAATAGAATTGGAGCAAAAATAAAGCAATGAACATTTCACCATAAAACTGAGAAGATAATTACATGAGTGACCCTAGACAAGTACTTTGCTTCCAACAGATTTTAGCCTCTGGTTCCATCATGTGCAAGCTTCCAGTCATTGTCACCTTCTGGATATCAATAAAAGCTCAGCATTTTAGACAACTCTGTACTAAACTCTCTCCCTTCTCCCAGTCACCTGTAGGGATTCTTACCCTTGTTTTTTTCCATCTGTCATGGACCCCTGTGGTAATCTGGCCCACTCTCCAAACACTATGAAGTCTCTCACTATCCCACCCTCCACTGATACTTATCACTGATTTTCCTTGAAATCTGTGTATTTCCTAAATTTCATATTTCTTTTGGTAAGTACAGCAATACCCTGCTGTAACATGAGAAACAGGATCCAAAGCTTGAACTGAATAAAATGTACGGTCACATCAACACAAGGCTAATGAAATGACGGAATGACTCTGGCTAGCTAGTTCCAGGAGTTTGTTCTAAGTTCACCTTGGTCCCACTGGTGGGTGGCCTCTTGCTGCAATTCTGAGGAGGAGGAGCCTGGGTCCTGTGTGTGGCTAGAGCTCCAGCCCAGCTGGGAAATCCCAAGGATCTTCCAGTTAGTTCCTTATTCATTTTGGCAAATGCTTTGTCTGCCTGCACTAGGAGTTTGACCAGTGACAGCTAGGGATTTGGAGACTCATTCCACACAGCGGGCAACCTGAGACTGGCTGCCGCCAGTTTCCAATGGGCCCGGTCTCTTCTTGCCCGCCTGCCTCCCTACCCCACCCACGGGATGCCAGGCCTGGCTGCTGCAGTCCACGGGAAGGTGGGGAGGCGAGCGGGGAGGTCATGGACGCACTCATGGGCTGCCACCCTCCCAGGCCCCTCAGCTGCTCCTCCACGCTCAGCAGGACGCGCATCTGCTGAATGAGTTAAACTCTCCACAGCTCAGCCTCTTCACAGCATGCTTCCTCCTAGTCCTGACTGCTTTTTGTTTGTGTTGTATTATTTTAAAAAATAGTATTTTTACATTTTTATGTAGTCAGCATTACTGCTCTCTAATTTCAGTTTCTGATTCGAAACATTGAGTCCCAATGGCTGCCTGCCTATTATTTCAAAATAAAACTTTATACTTTAGCTGATAGTACACATTTCTCCTTTTACTCCTTTTGATTTTTCAAATATTTTTATTATTCTAGCCCATTCCATATAAACTAATCTGATTGGAATTGCATTAAACCTATAAGTTAATTTGAAGGTAATAGAAATCTTTACAATATTCCACCTGCCCATTGAGCAATATACATGTCTCTCCATTTATTCAAGTCATTCTTTTTCATATCTCTTATTAAGGATATTTGGTTTCCTTTATATTAACCTAAGTCCTCTCACAACTCCTAATAAGTTTAATCTTGTACTTCACAGAAATGGGATAATTTTCCCATTGTACTTTTTATTTGATATAAGCTATTGATTTTGCAATTTTGCATCCAGCCATCCTGTGGAATTCTATTATTAATTCTGATAGTTTTCAGTTAATAAGTTTGTTAAGTTAAAAAAAAAAATTATTTGTGCCCTAACCAGGTGACTCAGTTGGTTGGAGCGTCATCCCATACACCAAAAAGTTGTGGGACTGATTCCAGTCAGGGCACATACCTAGGTTACATGTTTGATCCCTGGTCGGGGAGCAAACAGGAAACAACAAATCAATGTTTCTCTCTCTCATTGATGTTTCTCTCTCTCTCTCCCCCCCCCTTCCTCTCTCTCTAAAATCAATTAAAAAAAATCCTTGGGTGAGGATTAAAAAATTATTTTTATTATTTGCAAATATCAATCATTTTATCTTCATCTTCAGAGTACTTTATTGTAGAATTTGACAAAAAAGTCAAACATTTTGAGACCCTATTATGTGATAATCATAAATTCTAATCATAATTTCTATTTCTTATTTCAATGCACTGGAAATAACTTTCAAAACAATGTTAAGTGATGAAAGAATAATAAGCTTCCTTGTTGAATTTTAACAGAAAAATTCTTCTAATCCTAATTTGCCAGAAATGATTGCTGAATTTCACATGACTTTTAGCATCTACTAAAGATTCTTTTGACTACCAGTGATAATTATATTTACAGATTTCCTACTCCTATACTTACATAGAGAATAAAATTTACATTTTCACTGATGAATTAATAAGCTAGTATCTTATTTTAGATTTTTGCTTCTATATACTGCTAAGTAAGAACAATCCGTAATTTTTTATTTTTTATTGTCTTTTTATAAAACTGTTGTGATAAATTTAGTAGGAGAATTTATACCCATGTTCTGAAGCAGCTTTATGTAAGATAAAAATTATTTGCTTCTTTAAAATATGAAAGAACTAGCTTTAAAAAACCTGAGTTTACAGCTACAATCAATTCTAATTTAAATTTTTCCAGATAATCACCACTTTCAATTAGATTTTCAAATGTATTTTTTTATTGTATATGCTGTTATCTAATGTTTGTTTAACTGCTTCAAATTTATGATTATTTTCTCTTGGATTGCTTGTATTTTGCTTTTTCTTATTATGCCACTGAGGAATTTACCTAATTTATTTATATCTTCAGAGAACCAGCTCTAGTAGTTCTCAATTGATATCAACTTTTACTTTCTGCTTTCTTAGATTTATTTTATTTTTCTAATTTCATGAGTTCAATAAAAGTTCATTTACTTTTATTTTTCCTGTTTAGTAATAAAAGCTTCTAAAGCTAAAAATCTGTCTCTAACTGCTGCTTTGAGTACATTTCATATTAGGCTCTCTCATTATCATTATTTTTTAAAGGCTCTATACCTTTGCTTAGATTTCTTCTTTCATCCAATAATCTTATATGCCAGGAATTTATTTTGTCATAAAATTTCAGTTTTATTGTACTATAAGAGAATGTGGCCTTTACAAGTTTTAGACTGAGTGATCTACTGAGCTTTATTTTTCAGCTTAAATATTATTTTTTAAATTTTTAGTGGGTGCTTTAAAGGGTGTTTAGCCTCAATTGACTATATATTAAATTAATATTAATTATATTATGTATACTTTCTATGTCTTGTTTATTTCTTTTTTAAAGTAGCATGTTAAACTCTACATTATTATGTTTCTGTTAAATTAGCCTTGTCTTTTCAGCGGTTATATCCATGCACTCTGACTTTTTGTTACGTAGAACATGGGAGTTCACGAAACATCCTTATTGTGATGTATAAGCATTACTGGTACGATCATCCACTTTGTGAAAAGGCGGCATTAAAACCAACTAACAAAAAGTAACATTCTTTCAATATTACCAAGACAGTTGATAAAAATTTTTAGGGGGGAAAAACACTAAAGTTTAATCTAAATCCCCATACCAAAAAAATTCCACATGGATTAAAACATTAAATAGGAACCATAAAATCATAAAGTTGGAAGAAAATACAGCTGCACAGGTCTGCTGCAGTAAGAGAAAATGCCTTTGTGTAAAACTGTGGTAAGCATATGTACACAAAAGGAGACAGACACCACTATCGAAGCAGAAATCAAGGGGTTGCATCGGCCCCTCCTCTATACTCCCTGACTTGAAGAAGTGCACCCTAAAACGTCCGCTCAGCCTTACAGCTGAAACCACTGCCTTCGGTTTGAACTCACTTATATGGCTCAATTTTCAACCTCAGGTCTTTTATACCACTGGCCAATGCTTCAAGCCACTTACTCCATTTCCCTCTTCGAGAATATCTGTTTTGCTTAGATTGCACCTCATGGTCACCCTCCAAATTTCACTGCACACTGATAATGTCTTCTAATTTTCTTGGGTATCAAGAATATTACTTACAGCTTCTAAACATCTAATTTTGGCTATGGTGTGTGTGTTTTTTAATGTAATGGAACTTTTTAATTCTGACCAATTCTCTTATTACCATGGCTTGCTTCATCTAATACAAGCAATTTCCTCTTTTATGTTTCGAAAATATGAAGCACATCTATTCCAAGCATTTGTTCTAATAGAAGTGCCTATTTTAGGAAGTGTGCTTTTATGATAATGTTTCTCTTCTGCTGCCATCATTTAAATAGACCCTATTTTTATTGATGCTTCCTATTACTAAAAAGAGACAGATCTAGGCACAGTGGTGAAAGTAAAACCCAGCTGTTGGAACAAAAGTTGGGTTCATTTCTCATCTCTCATAACTGGCACGGAACACTATAATTTTATTTGGGGGCAAAGAGAATCATTCAGGCTTGGCGAACAAGGGGAATAGCTGTAAGTTTTACTACTTCTATGTGAGGAACTCCCCATTCACATACTCGAATAAAACCCCAAGGAATGGCTCTGCTTGCTAATGGAGAGGGATTAGAAGAGCATGGCAAATGCCCGAGACTGGACCCGAAGCTGATACATGAGGAGCTGAAGGCCCAGAGGTGTCATTATCCATCTTGACTCAAAAGCAAGAGGGCCTAATTTATTTCCTGCTGCAAATATAATTTTATTCCTTAGTTGGGTTGCGTGAGTGTTTTTATGTTCGCTTATTTATTTTTTTACCCATTCAAACATAAACCCTCCCTCGCTCCCAGGTGGCTGTTTTAACCATTTCCTATACTCTTTCTCACCCGCTTTATACATCTTTATGTGACGCTGTTGCTCATTTTTTAAAGTTGTTAGTAGCAATGACACAGATGTTACAAGTACCTTTTCAAGAAGTCATAGACAGGATTGGTGATCTCCACCACAAGGTAAAACTTTTCATCATTCATACATTTTAGCATAACTTGCGTAAAAAATTCCAGGAATCTAGGTCTCTGCTTAAATTTCATAACTGTAAAAACAAGGACATTCATACATATATAGTGACCGATACACTTAGTAATTGATGCTGAAAGGTTACTGTTACTAACACTCATTTTGTTCTAACAGGCAAATTTATTAACCTGCTTTTTAGATTTCTCACTTTTAAAAAATATGTAGGAGTAAATGTGGTAAGAACTACGTTTTTCTAAAATAAAATCCTTTACAGTCTATATTTCATTTATTTCCCCAATATCTGTGTTAAAAAAGGTTTCATAAAAGTTGCCTCTCATGTATGACTAGTTGAGAAAAAATTGCTGATAATATCAGAATAACTAGTGATCCTAATTTTTATTATATTGCACTCTGAGTTAAGCAGTAATGGTGCTGTTTCTTCAGAGCTGAACTTAAAAATCACTAACACAGTATTCAATTCCCATTTTTTTTGTTTCATAACACCACCATTCACTACCCAAATAAGCCACAGTCAAGGTTCTGTCTTCCCAAATTTTTAATCAGGTTTCTATTTAGGTCTCTTGCATTACTTGACAAGCAAGAGTCTGAATTATTCTGAATGGGTAAAGAACAACAAGTCTCCTGCCTGGAACAGGTCAGACCTTTAAGGAGTAAATAACAACAAAACCCACAGAATAAATCATTTTCAATAGTAAGTCGAGTGAGCAGCATGTATACATTTAGGTCACCTACCTTCTTTCACAGCACCTTTGACTGACCAATTTAAAACTATAGGGTAAAGGAATATAGGGTCCTCTGTTCCTGAGAGTTCAGCTGCAACATCTAAGGTTTAAAATAATAATAATAATAACAAGTTGTACATTCTCTTTAACAGCAAGAACCAAATAGGAAAATCCTTTGGAGGAGATAAAAAGAAAGAAAACACCCAAGTACTCTTTCTAAGTTATGTACATTAAAAGTATCAATTACATAGTATTTTAGAGATTTTAAAAAATTCAATAATCTCCATTATTTTCATTTTTCCCCCTAAGAGCCAAGGAGTCTGCTACCAATAGGTAAAGAGTTTCCAAGGCACAAGTATAGTCAGTTCCTAAAAGACCATGGGACAAAAGTGGAGCCCCCCCACTTAGAAGAAATTTAGGTACTTGTGTTCTTCTAATCTAGAAGATCTGAAGTATCTGCTTTTTAAAAATGTGATCATACTTGTCACCAAAAACGAAATCAATTTAAGCAGATTTCCAAATTGCAAACTCCAAAATTCCAACCATTGTGTTAACAAATTACTATAGCACACAATGATCTGAAATTAAACTAATCTTTCACTTAAGTAGAGAGTGGTTCCAATCACACACATATTAACAACCCTCGTGCTATCCCTTTTTATTTCTCAGTTACATTTTCAGCTGTGATTCTCAATTTTGCGCCCTCCCTCCCCAACACATTTGGCAACATCTGCTTCCCATTTGGTTGCCACAGCGCGGGGGCTGGTATGCTATGTATCTATGGATAGAGGCCAGGATGCTGCTCAACATCCACAATGCCCAGGACAGTCCCCCACAACAAAGAATCATCTGGCCCAAACTGGCAATAGTGTCAAGGTTGAGATACCCTGCTTTAGAATCAAAAGAGTTAGGCTCAAGTCCAAGCTGGCTATGCAATCCTAAATAAATCACTTAATCCTTACGAGTCACATCTGTAAAAAGCAGTTAGCAAGCCCTTAGTAACAGAATATTACTAGGATTATTGACCTAATATAAAAGCACTGTGTAAACCTTAAAGGGTTTACCAAATGCTAATCTCCTCTTAATCCCTTTAACAAAATATTTTCTTATTTTGAAAAATATAATGCTCAACAGAAGTATATGGAAAGAAATAAAAATGACTACATTGCTTTGTCAGTTTGAGAAGGTGCGTCTCCAACAAGAGCAGCTGTTCATTTATTTTTTCAGGTGATAATATCTGCTGTGGCCTCTTAGTCTTGGAAGACTTCTTAGGACAACCCTAGAAACATTGGTTAAATTTCAGAATGTGCTTCAACATGTTTCAACAATTGTCATTTTCAAATAACATTCTTAAAATTATGTTTTCGCACTTGTAAATAAAACTATGGTCTACATGGCTAAACAACTCGACTTAACAAGTGCCAGAGGGAAAAGGGGGTGAGGGTGGTAGGAGAGGACCAAGGGGAATAAATGGGGCTGGAAAAAGACCTGACTGGGTGGTGAGCACACACGCAGTGTGCAGATGATGTGCTACAGACCTGCACACTTGAAACCTGTATGGTTTAATCAACCAATGTCACTGCAATAAATTCAATAAAAAATAATTGATAACAACAGCCATTGTGCTCCAACTAAACTCCAGACACAGTACTCAACGTTTTATGGAGGCTGCCCTAAATATTTTTCTTCTCTCTCCCTTCCTCCCCGTAACTCCTGCCCCTCCTAATGAGCACCCCGGATACCCAGACACTATCCCGAAAGGAGTTGGAGTGTGTCTCAAAAAACCCTCAAAAGAAAATTTCCATCATGCCCTCAGAAATGTATCACTTTTTTCTTTTGTTTTTTTTTCCTTTCTTTTTCCCCAAGGAGCTTCTTTACAACTAAGCTAATTGCCTTTGCAGCTTTGCCTCTCATTGAAACATAACAAGATTAATAATTTGGAGATTAAAAATTGGTGGGTCTGTGCCCAAGCTCCCCACCATCATTTAGAACTGACCAGTTAATGTCTCCTGTTCTCAAAGCAAAAACAAAAGCGAAACAAAAACCTCCCAAGCCTCTTTAGGGTTAAAATGACCTTGAGTGGTCATAATGGTTTCTGACTCTTACAAATTAGCTTGTCAGTCCCCACAGGCTTGGTCAGAAGGAAGCATCACAACCTTCTGCTGGACTAGTGGCTCCAAGGAAAGAGGCACGGGGCCTCTCCTCCCACGATGTGCAGGGACAGTGTCATGAGTTAAAGCCTAGCGATAGAAAGGCGCTGGTTGATGGACTCTGAGAGTGAACACTTGGTGAAAATACCCCTCAAATTGTCTCCAGCTTAATCAAAACTCTCTCTAAACAAAGCAACTCCCTTCAAATAAAAAAGTTTTATGGCTAAAGAATTCATCTGGTAAAACTGTGCTGATAGTTGAAGGTTTCTGTGCCAAATAAATGCTTGCGTGGAAACTCAACATGTAATAGAGATAGAAATGGAGCTACTCCAACGGAAACAGGCTCAGAGGCGATAGTCTACCTCCATCCGTCACAAAAGGGGCTTCAAGTAATTCCTAGTGCGCCCCAGAAACCTGATAAACTAAGATACAGTTCAAATTTGATCAACAAATCATTTAACTATACAGTTTCTAAGAAAGGCAATAAAACAGGCTCTAGTAAGACACATCCTTGGGAGGCAGATATTAAAAAGTTGTCTCAAACATTAGCAGTCTCATAAAGACGACAATTTAGGTGTGACAATGAGTTTGGGAAATCTATGCTGAATATAGTGAAGAGCTATGACATATATTTACTACATTCAATAATGTGCCCAGATAATAAAAATCTTCCCTTTGGAAGAGATTTTACAGGGCTTTTAGTCCAATGTCTGATTGGGTGTAGGAAGCTCACTATCAACACCCAACTTATGATCAGTGCTGGTGATGGGAGACTTTTCAGTATTCTAGCATGAATTCCTTTCATTTTCTTATCATACAAGAAAAAGTGGGGGGAAAAGCAGCTCTTCACTATATATAACTTTTTTTAATGTAAATATAACAAATTAAAAAGTGATGAATTTTTTAGCATGTTTACTACTAATACATAACCTCTTAAAAGACTCAACAGAATATAAGCTTAGAGATGAGGAACGAAAACAGTTACCAGCTCTTGGGTTTCTTCTTGCTCAGTAGTACCAAACAGAGATTTGCACTCGGGTGTGATGTCCAACATCTTTTTTGCATAATTTATAATAATCACTGCCAGGTCATATTCCTTCCATGAACGCAGAATCTAATTTAAAATATTTACTAATTATCTCCACTGGAAACTCTTGTCAATTCTCAAGAGTCCTGCATCATCTTTCGTAAACTCAAAAGTCACACTGGTGCTTTGGGTCTAAGAATTCCCATTTCCGTTACGGAAACAGGAAGCTAACCTCCAGGTCATACTGCCCTACCATTAAAACTGCATGACTCCACTATCTTGAATATAGGACTAGTAACAGCAACCTCATCAATAATGCATACCCCCTATCTCTGGGACATATAACCATATAGATACATTTTGGTACAGTCAGTTAACTGTTCAGAAAATGTTTCCACTTGAAAGATCCAGCTTAAAGCAAAATCACCTCGTCTTGAGTTGCTTTCTATGGGAAATGGCACAATGAGTGACCTGCTGGTGCTGGAGGGCAGAGGCGTTTATTTCAGTAAATGATTTACAAGACATTCTAGCAGTGGACTGAGCAAAGTTAAGCTGTTTTGGGAGATCCCCCATGAGCCGCAGGGGAAGCAGACACTAATCCTAGGAAGGGGGCAGCCCACTCTGCCACCCTCATGCTTAGTCCATCATTAATTGTTGGTCTTTGCCTTCTCCAGCCTGGCCCTTACCCACCTCTCTAGCGTAATATTTCACTACTCTTCTAGTACTTCAAGTTTACAAAATATTGAGCCAAGTATAAATTCTGACAGTGGTTTCAGGACGTCATGCTTTCCTACAGCTGAGCCGTCTCCCAGAACGGCATCCCCACCTTATTAATGTAATGTAAGGTTATTAACGTAACCTGCTCATTAAACCTGGGCTCCGGCATCTACTCCCAGGGAGCTTCCTGGCCAGCAATCTGATCCGCACAGAGCCCGCTGGAGGGAGGGTCACCTGGAGGGAGCACATTTGCTGTGAACCCCGCAGGGCAATTCTCTACGGGAACCGACGAGTTTGTATGAATTTGTTATACGGACATGCGTTCTGTTAAGTTGAACAAGTCAGTATTTACAATAAGTAACAATGGTTACTTCCCACGCAGGGAAAGGACATAATGAGTGTGTGAAAAAGAAAGTGAATAGCGGCCTACACCTGGGAAGACCGACGCACCGCAAGGAGCTAAGGACTGGGAAGATTTCTGGGGGCCCAGCGCGACAAGGGTAAAGAAACGCTGACTGCGGAACAACGGGCGGGGGGGAAAAGGGTGAAACAGAGTTTGAAAAGGCAGAAGGCTCAGCCATTCAGGGCCCTGAAAGCCAGTCAGAACAGCCCAACCTCATCATAAAGTCCATATGAGAGGGAGTTAGGTCTGTTATTAGAAAACAAAAGTGAGCTCATGTTTGTTCCCCACTCAACTTTGCTTCCTGACATACTTAGGTCCTAGGCCTACAAAGCGCTGGGTAATCTTTTCCCCTTGTTATAATAGTCAGGAGAAAACACTCTGATAAAGAACTCAAATCAGAAGAGAGAACCAATTCTACTCAACATACCCAACGAGCAGAAATAAAAAGACTCTGCCAGATGTTTAGCATAATAATTTCTTGGCAATGGCAAAATAATGAAATGCTGAAGATGATGTGTCTCAGAAGTGGCACTTCATTTGGAATTCTGGCAACTTGCAGAAAAACTAGCTGCTTGTAGAAAAGCTACTGCTGCTTGTAGAAGACTGATCTGTCTGAAAAGATTACCGATTTTTCAAACAGAGAAAAGAAACTACCACTTGACTAACTGGGCTTTAGAAGAGAAAATCCATAGACAAATGTGTTTACATGAAATGAACACCTGAAATCTGGGATTCGGGACTAGTCCAAGGTTCTGGAACTACTGGTCATGTCTGGAATGACAATTCTCAGTATATCGATTTGGGATAGACCAGCTCTAACAGCAAAATCCCGCTATTAATATATAGCAAAATCCTAAATTAATATATACTTTACTTTTTAAAAAAAAAATCCAGCCCTGGCCGGGTAGCTCAGATGGTTAGAGCACCATCCCGATACACCAAGGCTGCTGTCCCATCTCAGGTTGGGGCTCATAAAAGAAGCAGTGGAACAACAAATCAGTGTTTCTCTCTCCCCTCTTGTCTAAAATCAATTTTTTTTAAAATGTCCAGAACATTCAAGGTCATTTGTACAATAATATCACTTGGATCTCAATATCCTTCCTCAAGTGGGTGGAAAGGAAGTGGAGTCATGGATGGAGAAATCAGGACAAGCAGAACCAGCCCCAAGCTGCTTCGTGTTATGGAAGAAAAACCACACGAGGCCAAAGGAGGAGGCCTGTGATTCCAGGAGGTCGGCCTCCACAGGGCCCCAATGCTGGCTGGAAACTCTTTAGTCTAGGTCAGCACTCTCCCGTTTTCCACAGGGGCTGTTGCAAACCCTCCCACTCTCCTCAAACCTCTGAAATTCTCCCTAATTCTTCACCTCCACACTCATAGCAAATGGCCTTGCTTGGTTTCCACAGAGGAAATGTAGGGGAACTAGCTTACCTCCAGCCCACAAATCTACCTCTACACTCACTTCTAACCACAACCATTTTTTCTACCTATTAAAGGGGAGAGGTGACTCTCCGTCCAGACTAACCCATCCTGCATGTCAGCAGATCCCATTGCCTCCTGCCTTCACAGGGACCTTGGTCACCGGTCCTCTCCTATAGCCTCATCCTGTCCCTCTCCTGGTTCCTTCCTATTAACAGACACATGCTCTGGAAAACCTGGATAAGCAGAACTGGGTTTATGGTTGGTTGGTTTTTAGTAGAAGTTGCTACTGGACAATTTGCAAGCAACAAGCTGCCTTGGAATAGAGTTTCTCTGTTCTGAAGGTAACACTGTGAAGCCGCTGTTAGGTGTTTAAATCTAAAGAGAGTGGCTGGCCAGTGTCCTAGAAAGTGTAACCCCTCTCCCGGAAACACTCATTGATGAAGGGTCTGAACACTGCCACTCTTCCTTTATTTTTGTTTGCATCTTCGCAGTACTTTTGTCTAATCATTTATTTTTCAACCAGTGTTTGTCACTCTGGTTTATGAGTGTTTCTAGAAATAAAATACATTTAAATCTGACTTTTTAGCACATCTGCCAGTCTCTGTCTTTTAAGTTCATTCGCACTTAGTGAAGCACTTAATAACTTGATTTCATTCCTTCCATCTTATGTCCTATCTCTTTTTCCTTCTTCTTACTTTTGCTGAATTAACCATTTTTCTTCCCTGTCATTTCTCTGTTCACTTCTCATTCTTATCAATTTAGAAGACCTATTGTGCTTTAAAGTTCTTTTCATGGCTACATATTCCTCTGAGTCATCTTTAAATATATTTATTCTATCAAAAGAAAATAATTTTATACTATCTGTATATACTATATACATATATATTTTTTTTATTTCTTTAAAACACACCACCTATGCACCAAGGTTCTGCTCACCCCTCCCTCAACCCCAAACAGGATGGAAGTTTTATTCTAGGTTACTAATAAGTTTTCCTTTCAAGGATGATTCTTCTATTTCAAGAATCCCTACTTAGCATTTATATTACAAAGTCCTAGTCACATCATCTTTATCTAGTAAATTTTAATAATACATATATTGTAAGACTCATGCCTCCTGTTATTCCTCTCCTTTTTGTCCTTCCCTATCTCGGGATTTCTGTTCTGAACCAACTGTCATTTGATAGAGCATTTCCTCAAGTGTTTTCCTCAGATAAGTACTGAGGCAGAATACTTTTTAAATGCCTGCACTTCTGAAAATGTTTATTTTGCCCTGACAGATGAATGATATCTTTCATGGTTATTAATTCTTGGACGCTCAGGATTCTACAAATGTTGCTCCACTCTTAACGTCTAGTGTTGCTGATTTTTAAAAAAAAAAAAAGTTTGAAGCTAAATAATTCTCTTTCCATTGCAAATAACCTATTCTTTGAGTCTCAAAACTTGAGAATTGTCTTTATCCTTGGACTTCAGGCATTTCACCAGCATATGTCTATACACATGTTCATACGTTTATCCTGCCTGGGATTCAGGAGCCTATTACTTCTCCATTTGTTTCTTTTCTACCTCCAAACCTGCTTTCATTTCACGTTACAACTTCTGGATCTATCTTCTGAATTCATCTCTAGACAGTTCTGTTCTACAATGTCAGGTATTTCTGGAGCTTCCAGATTTGACTCAAAAAATACCATAACCATAATCTTCATCTACTTAATTTTTTAATCAAAAATCAAATTTGTTCATTCAGTTACAGATTTTTTTGTTTTGTGTTCTGACCATCTAATGGCATCATCAAGTTTTCTGTCTCTCTCCTTTTTAAAATCATCTCTGGTCTTTTCCAACATGGTGAGAGTAAATAACAATTATGTTAGTGTCTGTCTGCTCTTCCCCCCTTGGGTTCTGAGTCTCCATAAGTGAGTTCTTATTTTTCTCTTCCTAATGGTTTATGTTCCCTCAGCATCTACACAGACCAGGTCACAGGGGTCTCTCCAATAGTGGTGAACCAGTGAGTGATGGAAGGAACTCAATTTTTCTGCTCCTGAGGTCAGGCCATGCCCAGCCAGCAAATCATGACCTGTTTGCTAAGGTAGAGGTTAGAGGCCTCTCTGTTGCCAAACTTCCAAAGAAGCGAACTTTAGTCCCAACCAAAGTGATGGACAAATAAGCCCACCTGCGCAGTATCCTCCAGATCCCTGACCAAATCAGAAAGGTCTTGTGAGGACCACATAAAACAGGCAGATTGGATACCACCCTTATTTGAGGAGACTCAGTGGATTCAGTCAACACGATGCTGGTCTTCAAGCTGAGCAATGAGGACAAATAAACCTAGCTCTCTGCCTCTGGCCTCTTGGTTCTTTCTGGTTTCCAAAACGAATGCGGCCCCATAAAAGCCTTCTTTCCACCCTCTCGTCTCCCACCAAGATATGCCCTCCATGTCTTACCAACTGGCACACCTACGCTACTTGAGATCTAAAATGCATTCTGGGTGCTATTTTTTAAAGTAATTCCTGTAAAAGTAGCCTGACTTTCTAAATCGTTACTGCTCCTAAATTGTATGACACAAGACAAAGAACAAGATGAGTACCTTTGTTATGTAGAAGATACAACACGCTATCATGTGCTGCACACTTTGAAAACTCGCCATATGTTTCTTTGAGTGGGTGACATTTGGCAGTCCCTGCAAAACCACCATACACTTTATCAAGATCTGAAACAGAGAAATGCAATGGTTTTGTTGAAAGATATTATCCTTACACATTATAAAACGCTCTATTCAAATCATGCACGTTTTAAGCCGTCAAGTTTTATTGTTATCAATAACTATTGGTAAGTTGCTTATCACGTATAGGGGAATGTAGTCTGAAATAAAATTGATACGTTCAATTTTCAGATGAGTCCCTCATCTAAAGTAACTTGAAAACCTGTGGAGAGAATAAAATAAGTACACGAACAGCTATAAAACAAAGCATATTTTGGTCAAGCGCCATAAAAGATACAGACAGAATGTTACATGCATGTAAGAAACACCAAGAGCACGTCCAGGCTTAGGGGGACCTGCAAAGCGGCATGAAGAAGGGTGTGCCATGTCAGCTGGACACTGACACCAGGCACCTGAAGTGACAGTGCCCTTCAAAATTAAAACCAAGATGATAGCTTTAACAATATACTTTGAATAAATATTGTTGCTTCTAACATTACAAGAACATAAAAATTAATTTTAAAACCTGGAGAAGCAGACTGCCGATATTTAAATATAGACGGCAACGGCAATGGGGCTGAATGTTTTCAGAGAAACACATCTTAAGTCCTTATTTATGTCTTCCCAGACATATCATTTAAATTATTAAAATGTTTTTCAATTAACTCATACTTGTTATTTGTACTTTATAAGAGATACATTGTTTTTTTCTTTTCCAAAATGCACTGTGGAGTTGCCTTTGTAAAAATACCCTTATCTGGGGGGCAGAAGGGGAAGGAATACCCTTACCTGTACGACAGGGACCAAAACAATATTGTGGTAGATTATAGGAGCAAGGAGGCCATAACACTGAGTCACAGCTTGAAGGGCATAACTGGAGTCGTTTAGGTAGTTGCTAAGTTCCAATGCCACTAATACTCTCTCACATTCAATTAGTCTAGCAATCTGTAAAGAAACAGGTATTGTTATGAAAATTAAACATCGGGTGCTTAATTAATGCGTCTCTAAGGAAAACACAGGGTAGACTTAACAACATGAATGTTGCTATAAAGAAAAATCTAAATTCAGGAACAACAACTCCCAAGTAAAGCTATACATGGATAACACAATTTTATAATTAAATTTCAGAATTTTTTGTAAAACAATACAAATACCACTAGTAAGATAAAAAGAACCAATCTTTTTTAACTGGTAAGATAAAATCTTGGCTATATTTTAAACTAGAAAAAAGAGACTTGTTGCAAAAACATAGATTATAAGAAATAGTAATCAGAATATAATGTCTGCATATATTGCCCCCACTTGATTAACAGAGTCCCATTTGCCTTCTGGGTTTGTGAGAAAACAGCAAATTTTCAGTAGAGCAAACTAATCTCCTGTTATAATTCTCCTACTTCCATAAAAATGATAGTAAAATGTAAAGGTAGGCTTCTGTGATTAAATGACACTTAAAAAGAATAAGAATCTTATCTTACTGCTCCTTTCCCTTTCCTGAGGAAGATTTCATTATTTTTCTGTGTAAATACATACAAGATCATGTACAAAGAAAACTGTATGAGTGGCAACCAGAAATTTCCATTCAGCAAAGTATTACTCTGGAGATCACTGAAGTACTTAAAAATTGTCTTTCTTCTCAGACTGAATGCTGAAAGAAGAAACTGAATGCAGTGTAGCAGAACAGACTGACGGTTGTGAGGGCTTGGGCTGTACACGACTGTGGGCTTGTCTTGGCCAGAGTCATGTTTCCATGTTTTCTTCACTTTCGTATTCACAGAAACTAATACAAGCTCATATAACAATTGATTGGTTAACTAATGAATAAATGGATGGGTAGGAAACTATAACTTCAAAAAAACTAACAAAAAAACTTGCAAAAGCCTCTGCCATATATCTAAGGTGAGAAAGGTAACCTCAATCTAAAAGGAAAAAAAAAAATGTAGGATTGTTATTGAAAGCAAGAGCACATGTAGATGTACATAAAACAATGTTTATGAGCAAACTGAGACTCTATCAATAGGAGATAGGTTAAATTTCTGGCTCTGTACAGGAATATAATATTATAATTAAAAAGAATTTGGTAATTCCAGCATGAAAATATGTCCAAGATATATCATAAAAATGTTACAAAGTCAGGTGCAGAACAACAAATATATCATGATCCCATTTAAATTGGAAAAAAAAAAAAGAACACAGGGCTGTGAATCATACATTAATATCAAATAAACCAGCACAAACATATAATGGTCCCTCAGTTCATTCCCAAGCCAGGATTTACTTTCCAAAAAACAAACAAACAAACAAAAAAAAACACATGAAGTTGAAACACTGAGAAACAAATAAAGGGAAATTGGCACATTTTAAGTCATTTTAATTCACTTACTTGTTGAGAAGGAAAAATCTCATTGCCTTTGATATTATCACAGAAAAGATTTTCTTCTTTAATTTTAATGTCACTTGTTACAAAAATATTTCTGAGAAAAAGGTATAAGAGGATTGAAGAAGTCTCTGCCAAAATATCTGAATGTAATCTGCAAAAGGAAGTAAATGATGTTACACGTTTAAATATAAAGTGACTTAGCACATGAACTTGCCTTTTACAATGATCCCAAGACAGCAGGAAAATCTGTGGAACAGCTACTCTAGTACAGTGTTTAAGTTAAAAACAGCCTGGGCGGGCGTGGCTCGGCGGTTGAGCATCGACCTAGGATCCAGGTAATCTGGGTTCGATTCCCAGTCAGGGCACGTGCCCGGGTTGTGGGCTGCAGCCAATCAATGACTCTCCCTCTCTCCCTCTCCTTTCCTCTCTCTGAAATCAAGAAAGATATATTTAAAATAAATAAATAAATAAGTTAAAAACAAAGACTATCCATTAACAAGTTCACAACTAAGAAAATTAAGCTGCTGACACATTATGTCATAGATATATAAAAACAACTATTGTCCAAGCTTTCTGGTTCTAACATATAAAGTTCTTTTTTATCCATATAATGAAATCACTACAGATATTCGGAAGTTTGGAAAGCAGGCCCACTGATCAGTGAACTTTCCAAAAATGAGGGTCACTTATAGCAGAATTAGCCATGGAGAGATAGAGAAAGAGACACAGAGACAGAAAAAGTGAGGCGGG